TGGGTGGTTGGTGTAGTGTAAAAGTATAGAAGTAACCTCTCACCAAAAAAAGTCTTCCTTTTACTAATAAGAAAGTGCATTAAACCGGTCTATTCCAATTTGATAACCTATATTAGATCACCCAGGTGATCATAGGCAACACTTTGGTGTCCTTTGATCACCTACAGATGAGGTGATCTCTAGGTGATATCATCCATGGGTCAAAGGACACCAGTGTCGCCTACGATCACCTGGGTGATCTGATCCAGGTGATCTGATCCAGGTGATCAAAGTAGAATAGACCATTAAATCATCCATCCGATTGTTGTCAAATGCCTGTCAATAAACAGCTAATTAACCAAACATTTATAGTGTCGTGATGGGCAATTAAATAAATAAAAAATATTATTTCCACGTCTACAGTAAAGTTTAATAGCACCATTTAAGTTTATATCTACTTTCGGCTACACACCAGACAATGCAAACCTCTTCTATGCTCTTTTCGTGAACGCCTAACAAAAACAGTGCATCATTTTAATGGCCGCCTCGTAGCCCGTAGCCCGTAGCTCGTAGCCCGTAGCTCGTAGCTATCTACGCCGTAGTGTTCAATGCGAAATAACAAAACGCACGGATTTACTGGACTGTCTTGTACTAAAATTCCGAACCGAAACTTTTGTATTCGAGGTAGAAGCAAATATTTACGAATATCGCCCGATGTTCAACCACCGTGATTTTTGTTAAAATATTTTCAGTAGCAACGACACCTTTTTGTCCGAATACAAACTGCTACCTTTATTTACAAATACAGTGATTTTTGTATGGAATTTGACAGATTATTGACGTTTGTAAAGTCAAAGTAAGATGGTGCAACTCAGCCTTAATCGACAGCTTCAATCTGCTACAGAATGAAGTAGGTTTTTCCAACTTATTTTAAACACTAATTCTTTGGTAATAAAACTTGAAATAATTTTGGTTCAACTTCAAGAAAATCAACTGGTATTTTATCAGAGAGCTAAATTACAATGGTCGTTAATTCCGACTATCTATCCTTCGCTATCTGCCGTAGCCTTGAGCTCCGTAGAATTATCGACTACGAAGATACGTAGCACGCTTCCGTAGCGGCTCGTAGCGATTCCTCGTAGCTGTTATTATTCTTTTAATTATGAATTCTTAAGTTAGTATACTTTTACAAAAATCTCTAAAACTCATTTATTTACATTTTGTATTATTGGTACCTAGGTACTCACCATTGGATTTTTAGATAAAAATCGTTATTTTACGTAAAGATAATTAATTATACTGCTCAATTGCAAAAAAAATACTTTATTTTAGTTTCTAATCAACTAATTTCATAAGATCTTTACAACTTTATCAGTGTTTTCATAAACCAGATTTACATATAAAAAAAACTATCACTTTATGATAGGTTTACGCGACGTTAAATATTTTGATCGTTTATTTATACTGCATGTGGTATTTAATAATAATATTGCTTATTAGATTGCATTTCCCGTTTTGTTTCTAGAAGTTAACATCAACGCGGCAATTATTTGAATTTCACACCGCAACCCCTTAATCTCACGTGACCCTTAACCTAATTTGGGGCAATCAAAAACCGGGTAATTCACCCTAGTCCCTACCGACCTACTAGTGAAGTACAGAAGTTTAATATCGATACTACAATACGCTACTCTATCCGGGCTAGGTCGGCACGCACCGTGATATACTTTATCGACGTCAAAATGTATGGGCAAAATCGATAAAATGGCGTGATCACCGCTTATCGTGACGCGCATCCATCCAGGCCTACATTTCCTCTGTGTGATACCTATTCTGAATGAAAAGGATCTCCAGGGAACATCATTCACTTACTTAGTAAATATTCCCTAAAATATTTTGCGGTTATCGAAATGATACGTTATTATTAATGTCTGTGAATTTTTTTTCGCAAAATGGATAATTATTATTAATAGGTTTAATACTATTTTTCGACAATTAATTGATTAATGATCACGAATATCAAAATCGATTGGATGCATTGTATATATTTCTCGTACTCATAATTTTGTTGTCAACTTGAAGAATTGATTTTGAAGTATTTTGATGATCAAAATTAAATCGATAAAACATCGATACTCCCCCATCTCTATCACCAACAAAGTTGCTAATCGTTACCATAAAAATACATAAACGCAATCAGTGGGATCGAGTCGAACGAGACACGTGAAGCGATCACGCGACGGCCACGTTACGTAACGTTGCCGATGGGATCGCGATAGCCACAAGCTAACGAAATCAGTACAACTACAACTAAAATCACGGGCTTTACTTGAAATTTTTTGAAGTATATGGGTACTTGCACCTTGACGTTTCGCCTGTGTTGTTACAGCCGTGGTCACAAGCAGACTGGTGGAACCCGTTATTCTTTACTTTAGTTGTAGGTACCAACGCAATAGCATAAAATATTTTACAATACAAAGCTACATCCCAAAAATTATACTCGTAAATGATTCATTATAGAGCACACATTAATTATAACCGGTGTTATATTGGTACAAGAGTAGGTTTTCAAATACACCTCTCTTTTTTATATAATATAGTCATCTTTCTTTTCAGCCAAAAGCTGCTGAAATGAAATGAAACTTGCTGGACTAAAGTCCCCAAGGATTTTCACAACGTCTGACTACATTGCCCGCATCCAAGCGCATCCCGCAATTGTGTCAACTTTAAAATTTATTTTCAGAGAGCGCATATTGCACACTGAGTCACAGAATTTGGGCGTGGCTACCAAAATAAGGTCAGAAAATGTGCACTTATAACCTTTAGCAACTTTAATCTCACCATAGTGATTATTGTTAATCAATGGTAACAAAGTACCTATTAAGCAGTTTTCGACCAATTGCAGTTCTTTTCTTCTCTGTTTAATCAAGATTTAAGTGCAAGAGTATCGTCCTACACTTATGTTTCTACTCTGTGTCCCGTGCGAATGCGAAGCGCGTGTAGTCCTTAGCAACGCTGTTCAAACTATCCACAACCTCTAATCTGGCAGCGTACATAAACATGACTACCCTGACCTATCAACAAGGAATTGTGGGTGTTACGTGTGCAATAACATATTTTGACATTGGCGTGGCGATACAGTTACATGGTGGCCGAGGGTGTCTTTTGAGTTAGTGACAAACTCGGCACAACTTGATATGCGTTAGATATGCCCCAAGTAGAAAATTCTCTTGGCTTATTCATTCGCGTCTCGGCCAACGTTACACTACGCTACGCGACCGAATGGAAGCTTATAGCTAGAGTCTCATAGCTGACAGGTATGCAGCTAACAAGTTGTATGCCTTTGATTAAACTGCTCTCCTGACCATTCCTGCAACGCGACAGGACGCTACACAATGCGACTAATGCACACGTTTGGCATCTCATTGCTGACTCGTACGCTACGCAAGCCGCAAGTTCTTACGATACACGCCACGCGATATGACGCTACACAATGCGACTAATAGTTAAGTCCCGATTTTTCTTTGAAGGCAAGAGAGCTGCAAGCATGAAGTTAATTTAATCGCTCTCTTAATTATAGCTTGAGTTAAACGAGAATTTGAAGATAAAAGTAAGACTTGGTTGTTTGATAAATCAGACATAGTAAATTATTATTTACTCTAAAATGTGTCAAATAACAAAATGTTTTTTTCAACAGCTTAGCACGTTACTTTTTAAAAACTAAACATAGTACCTACACAGTAAAACAATATTTGGTCCCACGAGGCAAGTACACAAACATTTGAGTTTGTGTTTTAGATTTAGTTACTTTTTTACTTGTGTAGCAGTGATTAGTATGATTTTTACTAATTACTGAAGTAAGTATTTTAGTTTCAAGTTACAGGAACTTTTATTGTTAAAAACTTTTCCTTAACTTTTTATCGCGAGTTAACTTTTACGTAAATAATAATGATTGGTATGAAAATAGGTCACAATAAATTGTTTAGATAAAATTTAATTAACAACAGCTGATAAACCTGCCCTATTTTTAATTACGTCATGAGTTATGATAGAGTTTTTTAAATTGAGTATATTGTTAATAATTATAATTGTGTGCTTGTTTTTGTAGATAAGAAAGAGTAACCAACTAGTCCTAATGTCATGACTGATTGCGGAACTAATTATTATAAATCTGCTACTTTTATTTATTGCGAATACCTAATTTAGGTATCATTGAAGAGTGTAAATTTCGTTTACCCAATTTATTTCAATCCACATCTGTCCAAACTTAGATTCCAACTCAAAAATAGCACTGCCAAGCTCAACCTACTCGTACCTGTGATTACTTTTCGTTTCGTTCGCGCACACCATTTATATCCCATCTAATAATAAACGTCCCGAATTAATCTATGAATGAGAACAAGAATACACAATGAATTCCAATTAATGATTAAAATATCCCCTGAATAAAGCTCCCGAAAGCTCCGTGAATTATTAATGGTTTAATGGATTTGATTTTTCAAGTTATGACACAGAATGAGGTAGATCAGTTATCTAGTAATCTAATACATAAATGCACTATACTAATGGGAATTTGATTCTAAGGACAGTTTACGTTCCATTTACAGGCTCTATATTTTTTCTATTGACATAGATTTGGCTCTTGGTTTTTAAGGAGTGATTTTTGCGGGCGCTGAATCTCCAGAAATTGTTTTAATAAATAAACTAATGAGAATAAAAATATAGCGTTACAATTAAGCGGTGTTTGTGAGCAACATTTAATAAGCACTAAACACAATTGAGACATCGAGTTTTCTGTCAATAAACGTTAATTTATTACAAATTGCCGGAGAATCAGCGGATCTATTTAAAATGCTTTTCTTATTCGCGAATACCCTGACACTTCAAAAATTAATCAAGTCAAAGCTTAAATAATCTTTGAGGGATCATCTGTTATCATCGAATTAAGTAAGCACAGGGAGAGGTTACCAAATCTATGCTTGAGACGGAGGGCATGCAAGGCGTTGTGCGGGCGAGCTTACCGTCGGCATCAGCTGGTCCGTGCTCCTCACGCGAGTCACCTTGTTCTTATAGATGAGCTTCTTCATCGCTCGCTCCACGGGCTGGTTCCACCTCATGAACATCACGTACGCGCCGTACAGCGAGAACAACACCAGCGCCTCCTGCCAGTAGATCTCGCTGTCCCGGAAACAGTATATCAACACTAACAGACTGATCGAGTAAAAGGTACAGTCGCGAAACAACGGCCACCAAGTCAGACTCAACGTCGTGCGGGAGAACAGCGCGCATGCACCGATCACGAACAATATGTTGAACACCGCGGAGCCCACGATCGTCCCGATGCCCACGTCGTCGAAGGACACGAAGACGCCGATGACGGAGGTGAAGAGTTCGGGCGCGGAGCCGCCGGCGGCCATGAATGTGGCGCCCGCCACGTCGTCGCGGATGGCCAGCCGCTCGATGATGACGTCCAGCGACGGCACGAAGAACTCGTCGCACACGATGGCGAGCGCCACAAACATGTAGCCCATGCCGATCACGTGGAAGATGACGGCGCCGGAGCGGCGCTGCTCCTCGCTGAAGAGGTCTGTGGGGAATAGCGGCACGGGTTTGTCCTCCTGGCCGGGTGTTGTGGTGAGGATTTCGAAGTCTGTGGCGTTGGGCTCGCCGGCGCGCGCCGCGGCCAGAAGCGCGAGCACGAGCGCGCCCCCCATGCCGCGCGCGCGGAGGCTCAGGGCACACTGCCGCCGCCCGCCGCCGCCGCCGCCAGTGTTGCCAACAGCTACCAAAGGCTCGTAGCTAGGAATTTAACAGAAAGTAGCTAGATTGAGTATTTTTTTCTCCCTAAAAAGTAGCTAGAAGTAGCTGAATTCAGAAGTAAATAAAATACTAAAGAAATAAACACTGCAGTTAATAAATCAGCTATAAACTTTAATCAACTTAACTTTAATACTGTGACTACTTAATTAACAAATAAAAGAAGACAATATTTTGATTATCTACCGAATATTATAATTATCTAATATCCCATTTTGTCAACTAGGTACGGCTTTAGGAAAAACGTAATTGTGACAGCACTGGCCGCTTTTCCTGAGCGAATCTTTTATGCATAAAATAGAATTCAGAGTTATTAAACTCATTCTATTCCTCTGTTTATTTTTTATTAATTCATTTGGGAGAACAATCTTTCTACCTCAGCATTTGAATGCGGAAGTGAAAGACAAGCTATAGCGAGTTACAAATACTTTGTAAAAATTTATCATAATCAATAGTTGCTAGAAAAAGTAGCTAAAAAAGTAAAAAAAAATTGTAGCTGCCTGACATCAAAAAGTTGCTAAATCTAGCTATAAAGTAGCTAAGTTGGCAACACTGCCCGCCGCCGCCCCAGCGCTCGATAGCGTCGCATTGCGCCGCGCCGCCCGCCCCCGTCGCCGCCGCCCGCCCGGACGCGGATTTGCGAACCGTGCAAAACATAGCGGGCTGTGCGCAAGGATTTGTCGAAGGATACCTAGATTATTGCAACGATTCATTAAAATATTTTGTATTTTTAATTAAAATAATTGCAATGATTAGACAACCGTCTAGGAAAAAGAAGCCTAGATGGTTATTTAAATCTAGATGTTTCACTTCAAGAGATTTTGGCTCCATATTTGTGTACAGATCTTACTTACCTACATAAATATGATGAATGTAACTTGATAGTATTCCCTTTATAGTTACCTATTTAAAAAAAATAATCATTTATGTAGCTACAATAGAAAGAGACCGCATACCAGTGTTAGCACAGTCGCTTCTCCCGGTTTTCGATTCGTACTGCGTTTCCTTGATAGGTACCGGACCGCCCGCGGGATCAATTGCTGATTACTGAATGCTGATAAACAAATACTTACAGCACCTAAAAGCTCTTGCGGCTGTTATGAAACCGTAAAATATGTAAATGTCACCCTTATCTCCTTTAAGTAGGGGCCAAAACACACTTCGCGTGTATGTCGCTTCGAAACTCAGCGTTCCGCCGTACTACGAGCTTCATAGTAAATATTGACGGCCGTAGTAGTATTTCCATACGGTACACGGTAGCACATGACAATTAAAATACGTGTAAATTAATAACGTACGTTTACATGCTGCTGCAACTTTAACGCAATAATTTGTGATTTGATTATGAATCAAAGTCTATTAGATAGAATACCGGTTGCAATTAAATACCCACTTACAATAACGATGGTTAGTTTCACGGATGCTAGGTACATGATGCTCTTTATCTACGTTTTACTACTCTAACTCAAACTTCATCGAAAATAGCTCTATAAATACATTTACATCAAAATAATAATACTAATTACATCAGAATTTATGACAAACGGGATGAATCCCATATTTGGTTCCCACCCCCGCTACTCCTATACGAATAACTAAATGATTAAATCACTAAGTACGAACAAGGATTCGTACGGATTACGTACGACGTCCACCTACAAGGTGGACCGACGACATTGTAAAGGTAGCAGGGAAGCAATCAATGTGGAAAGCATTGGGGGAGGCCTATGTTCAGCAGTGGACGTCTTATGGCTGAAATAATGATGATGATGACGTACGTGCATAAAGAATTAACACCCATATTCACAAACGATACTTGCTTAAGTGAAGCAGCGTTTTGAACGCATAGCGTTGAATAGAGCTTTGTGATTGGTTCGTGTGTGACCCTGTGCTTCCATGCGCACTGTGAGACCTCATAGTAATGTTTGTGAATACTGGCGTAAGTCGCGACTTGCCATGTAAGGTAATGCATTGATGCATTGACTACTTTTCTATTACAATTTTTATTGTCTTTCGTTCTAAGAATCTACGTAAAAATCTTACTTAAATTAATGAATTCTCATTAAATGTAATTAGGCATTACCGAAATCTGGTCCAGGGAAAACAGGGTCCGAAGATAACCCTTCGTAATCCAGACTATTTACAAGCTATCGGGAACGGTCTGGAATACAGGATGCTGATTATCCCGCCGTATTATACCTATTGAGCTGACGCTTACGGAAACGAAATCTCTACCAAAATACACAGATAAATCAAATTAATAAGATAAAAAAATCTAAAAGTTTTATAAGATAAGGAGAGATAAAAATCTAAAAAATACGGTGTAGCGCCAACCTGCAAGGAAAGCTCAAAGCTGACACCAAAAATAAAACACTTGTAAGTAGGAAATAAAATCCAATGAGAATCAGAACAGATTAACGCCCGTATTCACAAACATTACTATGAGATCTCACAGTGCGCGTGGACGCACAGGGTCACACACGAACCAATCACAGAGCTCTATTCAACGCTATGCGTTAGATTTTCTGCTTTACTTATGCAAGCATCGTTTGTTAATAAACATTTTATACCTACTATGGGTAGGTAGGTACTATGCTCGTGCTTATCACACTAACATGTTTTTGTAAATTATTTATAAATAACTTGAAAAAAATCTAACTGCATAAGGCGGGAATCGAACCTACGACCTTTGGCTTGCCGGGCAACTGCTCTACATAACTACTAACATATTGCGAGTTTGCGACTAAACTTCCTATTGGCGACACCACGACTGTTTGGTAAATCCTGTAAGCGAACCAATCGGCTAGGCAGAGGTTCATCATCATCATTCATCATTTCATCCAAATGACGTCCACTGCTGGACAAAGGCCTCCCCCAAGGTTTTCCATAAAGAACGGTTCTGCGCTGCCCGCATCCAGGCTCTTACCGCGACCTTTACCAGATCGTCGGTCCACCTAGTAGGAGGCCTGCCCACGCTACGTCTTCCAGCCCGTGGTCGCCACTCGAGAACTTCTCTGCCCCGACGGCCATCGTCTCTACGAGCTATGTGCCCCGCCCACTGCCACTTGATTTTAGCAATTCTGCGAGCTATGTCGGTTACTTTGGTTCTCCTGCGAATCTTCTTCCTCATTTCTGATTCGATCACGCAGGGAAACTCCGAGCATAGCCCGCTCCATCGCCCTTGCAGAGGTTAATGCTATTTTTTTTTTATGTGATAGGAGGCAAACGAGCAGACGGATCACCTGATGGTAAGTGATTACCGTCGCCCATAGACACCCGCAGACCCAGGGGCGTTACAGGTGCGTTGCCGACCTTTAAGATAAAGATACGCTCTCTTCTTGAAAGCTTGCAGGTCGTATCCGTCCGGAAACACCGCAGACGACAGTCCATTCCACAGTTTGGTTGTACGGGGCAGGAAGTTTCTAGAGAAACGTACTGTTGTGGACTGCCAACCATCTAAGTGATGGGGGTGGAAGTGCTGTCGGGTAGGTCGGTGGCGAAAAGTGGCGGCAGGAATAATAAGTCCGGATAATTCTTCGGAGCACTCCCCGTGATACATGCGATAGAATAATCTACACAAGGTACTACCACGTACTACATTGAAAGTACAGACGATAGCATAATCAAGGTACATAATCAAGGTACTTATAAATACTACCATAGTATTTGTTACGCCATCTCTTACATAAAATATCTTTCAATTTGTTTCAATTAACAATGCTTACTCTTAACAGCGTGCCAATAATCATAAAATCCATTACATGGAGTGTAGGTAAAAGTTGATAATTATTTATATGTGTTACACGTGCCAGTAATAATTATCACCGATTCATTAATGGCTATTTTCTCTTCCATCCCATGCATTTCTACTGGAACCCGATGAATAGGTGTAGGTCGGTAGAAATTAGTTAAAATATTTATCTATAGAACATTAAAAAAAAAAACTGTTAAAGCTTTAGATCTTATTTAGATTTAGGAGCAACTTTCAATATTAATAAATTGTTTTCACTTACGTGTAACCTTAGCGTTTAACCGTGTATGTAACCTACCTAAACATGAAGTTTACTTTCCCGCCAGAAAGTTGTTGAAGTAATTTTTTTTTTAATTTTTGTTTTTTGGCATTGACAATCGTTCGTTTTGTTTTCTTGTGTAAACCACATTTTCTTTATTAGAGGTAGCTAAAACAGTAAGAAGATACAAAAAAAATATTTCTGTTGATGTATGTCTCTCAAATAATCGATTCCAATTCATAGTCATTCACACTAATAATCGAGTAACTAGTCGAATGACATGAAAACTAGTTGTGAACGAACAACAGTACGATACGAACTGTCACCAGTGTTGCCAGAAGGTTACTTTTGTAACCTTTTAGGTTACTTTTGAACTGCTGTGGTTACTTTTAGGTTACACTAATGAAAAGGTTACTTTTAGGTGATTTTTCAGAAATTGTAGAATTAACTTTACAGGTTATTCAGTAAAAAATATTAATAGAGACAATTTAAAAATTATGTCATAAAGTGCATTTAAACTTGAATTTGATTTATTATTTGTTAAAAAAAATGAGTTTTAGCGAATGTTTTTCGATAATAAAACGCAAATCCATGAAACGTTTTTATACGGCTGGTCACTTTTCGAATTTAGATGATCAATTGTATTCATTTTCCATCCATGAACAACCTTACACAATCATCGCTCCGCACCACCCCCCCCGTATGAAGGTTACTTTTGATTCAAAAAGGTTACTTTTTTTTTATATTTCTGGTAATTTCTGACTAGACCCGACTGGCAACACTGACTGTCACTCAAAAAAATAAATGTCATTGACCGAGTTATCACACGTAGGGTTTCTAATTGGATTATGTGCTAAAAATTGGTTTTTGGTTAATTTCATTACGTCTATTTAATAACTAGAAAGCAAGATGTGGTTGGACGAAGCGGACGGCTTCGCCGAAATATTTAGAGGCTATTTGCCATACTATCTCCTAGTTGCTCTGCCTATTTTTATCATCATGTCTCCTGTGAACCCAGTGGCGGCTTCTCATGAGTTCTCGGTCTACAGAATGCAACAATACGACCTCCACACCGTCCCTCACGGTAAGTGCACCGATATGTGAAGGTTTTCATTGATGAAATAAAAATCGATTATCTACAGTTTTGAGGTTATCTTTCTTGAATAGATTAATTTACTGAAGCTAATGATGTTGTCCAAGTCTGGAAGGGTATAATCAAGAAGCAGATGTAGCATTTGTTAGGTGTCCTTTAAGGCATTGGCATGTAAAAACTAAAAAATGTTTTGCCCTAATAAAAGAGTTTGAAGACTGTATTTTTGATATTATACCTACTGGCTACAGACAGGAGTATGTTTAGCAGTAGATGATAATAAACTTAATTCCATGTACATTATAAACAGAATAATATTTCGAAAATGTTACGTTTTATTTAATATTGTGTACTCTTTCAAGTAATAACAATTTGACCTACATGACTTACCTATCTACCTGTAGTACAAACCTTATCTATCTGGGTAAACAATCCTCAATTCCCGTGTACTGAAGAATTAGTTTTAAGTCTGAGAGGCATAAAATAGGCTCTGTAATGATAAAAAAGTGTTGAATGATAAAAGTTTTGTTTTTTTACACTGCTCACCCCGCTATTGTTGTATGAAATACTTTTAATTAAATTATTTCAAAGAAGACTTGGTCTTTATAATTTTTTTTTGTTTCTGCTTCATGGCAATCTGTTTTTCAACATTAAGCCACTTCTTTGGTTGATTCCTCAGATTATGTTTTCTTCGAGAGCCATACTTGTGTGAAAATTCATTTCACACGACTCTCTTGATGTCAGGTGGTAAATCTTTTTTGTAGGCTCGGTATGTCATAATATGTTATTTACCTATGTTCCACAAATAAACGAATTTGATTTGATTTGATTTGATTTGATTTGATATGTTTTGATGGTACAATCATTAGCCTAAGCGCAGACTACCGACTTTTAGTTGGCCGATAGATGGGCCCGATTTAAATTTTTATAAAGAATCGGCTGCTACCAAATCAGTGTAAAGTGTGCACTTTCATACATCTCCATACTTACCCGACCCAACTATCGGTCAACTAATAATCGGTAGTCTGCGCCTAGGCTTAGTCATCTTACGAGTACTCAAACAATTCCAATTACAAATTCCAGGCTGCCGCAGCTCCAGCATCAATCTCGAAGGCCGCTCGCTCACATCCTGGAGCACCTCTCGCCACTGCGTGGTGGCTAGAGTCCAGGACGTCAGCATCGACCAGTTCATGGAGATCCGGGCCAAAGCCGGAGCCCTGCTCCTGGTTCTGCCCAAGAATGACACCATTCTTACGCCTGAAGAGAAAGAGGTAATGAATTTACCTCTACTTTTATTATTTACCTACAGGTCTTGCTCTTAACTTAGTCAGTGCCTGTGGTAGGTATAGGAGCGGCACAGGAGGGTGTTTTTGAGATGTCAATCGTCAGCAAGACTGCAGATTTGTCATCATCATCATCATCATCATCTCAGCCATAGGACGTCCACTGCTGAACATAGGCCTCCCCCAATGCTTTCCATATTGCCCGGTTGGTAGTGGTAGCAGCCTTCGTCCTGCGCCTTCCTGCTATCTTTATGATGTCGTCGGTCCACCTTGTGGGTGGACGTCTCACGCCGCGTTTTCCGGTGCGCGGCCTCCACTTCAAAACCTTGCTGCCCCATTGGTCGTCAGTACTGCGTACTTCAGATTTGTATGCTATGTCAATGTCACCGCTCCCTGGAGCACCTCTCGCCACTGCGTGGTGGCTAGAGTCCAGGACGTCAGCATCGACCAGTTCATGGAGATCCGGGCCAAAGCCGGAGCACTGCTCCTGGTTCTGCCCAAGAATGACACCATTCTTACGCCTGAAGAGAAAGAGGTAAGGCATGAATTTACCTCTACTTTTATTATTTACCTACAGGTTTAGCTCTTAACTTAGTGCCTGAGGTAGGTATAGGAGCGGCACAGGAGGGTGTTTTTGAGATGTCAATCGTCAGCAAGACTGCAGATTTGTCATCATCATCATCATCATCATCTCAGCCATAGGACGTCCACCGCTGAACATAGGCCTCCCCCAATGCTTTCCATATTGCCCGGTTGGTAGCGGTAGCGGTCTTCGTCCTGCGCCTTCCTGCTATCTTTATGATGTCGTCGGTCCACCTTGTGGGTGGACGTCCCACGCCGCGTTTTCCGGTGCGCGGCCTCCACTTCAAAACCTTGCTGCCCCATTGGTCGTCAGTACTGCGTACTTCAGATTTGTATGCTATATCAATGTCACCGCTCCCTGGAGCACCTCTCGCCACTGCGTGGTGGCTAGAGTCCAGGACGTCAGTATCGACCAGTTCATGGAGATCCGGGCCAAAGCCGGAGCACTGCTCCTGGTTCTGCCCAAGAATGACACCATTCTCACGCCTGAAGAGAAAGAGGTAAGGCATGAATTTACCTCTACTTTTATTATTTACCTACAGGTTTAGCTCTTAACTTAGTCAGTGCCTGAGGTAGGTATAGGAGCGGCACAGGAGGGTGTTTTTGAGATGTCAATCGTCAGCAAGACTGCAGATTTGTCATCATCATCATCATCATCATCTCAGCCATAGGACGTCCACTGCTGAACATAGGCCTCCCCCAATGCTTTCCATATTGCCCGGTTGGTAGCGGTAGCGGCCTTCGTCCTGCGCCTTCCTGCTATCTTTATGATGTCGTCGGTCTACCTTGTGGGTGGACGTCCCACGCCGCGTTTTCCGGTGCGCGGCCTCCACTTCAAAACCTTGCTGCCCCATTAGTCGTCAGTACTGCGTACTTCAGATTTGTATGCTATATCAATGTCACCGCTCCCTGGAGCACCTCTCGCCACTGCGTGGTGGCTAGAGTCCAGGACGTCAGCATCGACCAGTTCATGGAGATCCGGGCCAAAGCCGGAGCACTGCTCCTGGTTCTGCCCAAGAATGACACCATTCTTACGCCTGAAGAGAAAGAGGTAAGGCATGAATTTACCTCTACTTTTATCTAGCATTTAACTTAGTCAGTGCCTGAGGTAAGTATAGGAGCGGCATGGGTGTTTTGAGACGACAAACATTAACGAGACTTCAGTTAGTGTGCTTTGTCACATCATAATAATAAATTGTCAATGTTATCCCCTCTATGTTCCCCCTATGTCCCCTCCCATGCCATTTCCCATACCTCAAGCACTGGCTGAATGAAGCGCTAGATCTAATAATAAGTGTCCTTTTTGAAAAAGTTCTTATTTACATCAAATAGATTACCTGTTTCATTTGGTTAGCACCAAGCTATCCAACTTATTTTAAATTAAAAAGAAAACATTGTTTTTAAAAGACTTTAAAATAAATTATTCATGAAAAGTAGGTTAGCACCTTGCTAATGCATACAAAAGAATGTATAATCTTTGACCCTGTTTTCTTCAAAGTTTCTTAAAACAAAATGCTACTCATATATTGTTGTATGTAATATTTTGTTGTGAAGGAAGCTTCTTGAAAATTAGTGACTATTTTTTTTCCGTGTAATTCCCCAGAATTTGGAATCCTAATGTTATACAGCCTGTTTTTGTTCCGAAATTGTACAACGGTACAGCAGTGTTCAACTGATAAAATGATACAGTACCCGGCATTAAATATTGCACATCAACCTTTGGAAAGAGAATCGGTTAATTTCGGCTCGTAGAGCGTTATCTCTGTCGCACACTACCTATACGATTGACAAAACGTCATTGACAAAACATTATTCAATGAAAATATTGTCCGAACCCTTAGTATTTCTCTTCAACAAATACTTTAACACATTGTGAACCACTTTTCTTTCACGACTATAAAAAGTTTTTAGCAATTTAATTCACAAAATCAATTGTGAATTTGTTTACACTTTGACAAAACATTGTCAGTCGTTGTTCAAGTGCGACAGTGATAACGCTCTACGAAACCGAAATTAGCCGATTGTCTCTTTCTAAAGGTCGATGTGCAATATTTACCGCCGGGTATTGTATATTGGAATAATCAATGATTACATGTTTCTTTTACAGCACATCCAACTCCTAGAGATGGCTATGATCCAGCAAGAAGTGAACGCTCCAGTCTACTTCGCACAGTGGGCGCCAGAATTTGAAGACATCATCCAAGATCTGCAGCACAGCATGATCACCGATGACAAGTCCGGCACTGCTCTCGAGGCTATGTTCAACGGGGTGTCTTCTAACGGGTATCAGATTGGTATGTGTCTTGTGGAAATGGTATTGAAATGATTTCTCGTCGTTTTTAGGGTTCCGTAGTCCTGACAAGGAACCTGTAGCCGCCAGCGACCACAATAAAAATCGTCTTCGAATCGAAACAATGAATGTTTGCAGCCGAAGTCACAAGCAATAACTTTCAGCACAGAAACACCACATTGGTCATCATAATAGAAACAGGAATGTGGCCCTGACAAGAGCCGTTGCATAGCTCTGAGAAGAGCTGTTTCGTTGTGACCACTGCACGTCGCACCGTCCCTCATCGCAGCACCAGCACCGCTCGCACCACTGTCACCAAGCAGCATCACCAACGCCCACGCGTGGAGCGGCGAGCCGCGTGGGCACGCGCCGCGTCGCGCTCCGGTACACGCGTGCGTCCTGCGCCGCTGCCCGCCGTCGAAAAGATCGAGGCTGGGGGCAGCGGGCACTCCAGTCGACACCTCCCCTCGCACTCCGCGCGCGCGCCGCGCGACAAGGAGGTAGCGTGAGAGCGAGACAGAAGACTCGCGCCGCACTCGGAACACTGCGCGAACCCGGTGACAGAGAGACATCGTGGGAGCGAGACGACAAGAATATAACATCAAACGGCGATTGGTCAAAATGTATGGTTGCTTAGGTAGTCTAGTTGTACATAAGTTTTGTAAATAAATATGGCATTGTTTCGCCAATAAATTATTCCCTTCTGAACCAGCAATTGAGTTTTACTTCAACTACCTCTCCTCAACACTGAAAAGTAGGAAGGCTACACACCACACACCAAACTTAGACGTTGGCTGAGGCGGAATCCAACGTAGGAAACAAGTCTTACCGCCTATTCGTCACCGACAAAAACTCAAGATTATCATTCCTGATCGACACCGGCGCCAACATCTCAGTCATACCAAAGAAGAAGGGATCGTGTGGTAAACCATTACCATTCAATCTCTACGCTGCAAATAACACCATCATCCCTACCTACGGAGAGAAGACACTAGAACTCGACCTCAACCTTCGAAGACCATACAAGTGGAAGTTCATCGTAGCCGCAGTAAGCAAGCCTATAATAGGGGCCGACTTCCTCAAACATCACAACTTGTTAGTTGATTTAAAGAATCAACGACTCATCGACAATACCACGAAGCTACAAACCAACACGGCAAGATCATTCAACAACACGCCAACAATTCGCAGCATCGATGTACGACAGTCATACCACGACATACTCGCTGAATACCCGGGTACCACTCGGTTAACATCAATGAAACTCAACGCGAAGCACAACGTCGAACATTTCATCGAAACAACTGGCCCGCCACTCCACTGCCGCCCCCGACCGATCCCGCCGCACCGCTACAATCAAGTCAAAAAGGAGTTTGAAAACATGATGCAACAAGGCCTCTGCAGACCAAGCAAGAGCCCGTGGTCAAGCCCTCTTCACATAGTACCAAAGAAAAACGGAGATCTACGAGTCTGTGGCGACTATCGACGGCTCAACAACATCACTAAACCCGACCGCTACCCGATACCGAGAATAAAGGACTTTACGTATCAACTACACGGCAAGCAAGTATTTTCGACACTGGACCTCAACCGAGCCTACCAGCAATTGCCAGTCCAAGAGCAAGACATAGAGAAAACCGCCATCATCACGCCATTTGGGTTATTTGAGTTCCCGCGAATGTGTCCGGGTCTCAAGAACGCAGGCCAAACCTTCCAACGCTTCATACACGAAGTACTACGAGACCTCGATTTCGTGTATCCGTTCGTTGACGACCTCCTCCTGGCTTCAACCGACGAGCCAACGCACCGCCAACACCTGCGCATCGTCCTACAACGCCTGGAAGAATACGGCATCACAATAAACCCGGCCAAGTGTGTGTTTGGCCAGCCCGAAGTAACTTTTCTCGGTTACACAGTCACCAAAGACGGTATCAAACCACCGAAAGAAAAGGTCAAGATTATCACCGAGTACCCTCAACCGAAAACTATCGAAGAGCTCCGACGTTTTCTCGGTATGATAAATTACTACCGAGATAACATCCCTAACGCCGCAATAGTTCAAGCACCACTACACGCATTCCTACACAAAACTAAAAAACACGACAAAACTGAAATACAATGGACCGAGCAATCAACGCAAGCCTTCGAAAACTGCAAGAAATGTATTGAAGACGCCACCTACCTCGCTCACCCGCATCACTCCGTCCCGCTCGCACTAATGTGTGACGCGTCAAACACATGTGCCGGCGCCGTACTACAACAACTCGTAGACAACAAGTGGCAAGCTCTCGGTTACTACTCGAAGAAATTCACACCTGCGCAACAAAAGTATTCTACCTTCGACCGAGAACTTCAAGCAATATACATGGCAGTCAAACACTTCAGAAAAATCATAGAAGGCCGAGAAACAATCATCTTCACCGATCACAAACCGCTCACCTACTCAATGCAGAAGATATCGACCGACAACGAAATACCACGCCGAACAAGACAACTCTTATTCATTAGTGAATTTACTAGTGACATAAGACACATCAGTGGTCAAGACAACGTCATAGCAGACGCCTTATCTCGCCTAGAAGCCATCAGCTGTCCGACTACGATCGACTACGACGCGCTCGCTCACGCGCAAGAGAGAGATAGCGCTATACAAGCGCTGCTACGACAATCGAACATTGCCTTGAAGCAAATATCGCTACCGGATACGACTGCAAAGCAAATATACTGCGAAACATCAACACAAACAGCACGCCCATACCTAACTGAAGAGTTTAGAATAATCGCGTTCAATGCGATTCATGGACTCAGTCATCCCGGCGTAAGAACCACGAGAAAACTCATACAGAAGAGGTACTTTTGGCCATCAATGAACACTGACATAAAGAAATGGGTTCAAACATGCATCGGTTGTCAGCGCGCGAAGATTCAAAAACACACTAACAGCCCACTTACGTCATTCCCCGCATCGCCACGCTTCGAGCACCTTCATGTTGACATCGTTGGCCCGCTGAAGACTTCACCCCAAGGTCAACGCTACGTGTTAACAATGATCGACCGTGCTACACGATGGCCAGAAGCACACGCAATACAAGAGATCACCGCTGAAATAATTGCTAAGATTATTTATGAACAATGGATTGCAAGATTTGGATGCCCGACACGAATAACTACCGACCAAGGCCGACAATTCGAATGTCACCTGTTCGGAGAGCTCACCAAGCTGTTTGGCATCACGAAGATTCGCACCACGCCCTACCATCCCCAGAGCAACGGCATCGTCGAACGTTGGCATCGATGCATGAAGACCGCACTTCGAGCTCGCCTATCAACCACCAACTGGGTCGAAGAACTACCAACAATCCTCCTTGGACTCCGTGCAGCCGTCAGGACCGACGACAGTGTGAGTGCAGCTGAACTCACGCTTGGGCACAACTTACGGCTACCAGGCGATTTCTTCGTCCCATCAATCGCGAACGACTCCATGGGTTACACCTATGTCGAGAAGCTACGAGCCACTATCAACAAACTACGACCGACGCCAACGAGTTCGCATGGAAGCACTCGTTCAATCTTCGTGCACCCAGACCTGAAATCGTGCAAACAAGTTTTTGTACGAGTCGACGCCGTGAAAAAACCGCTACAGCCACCCTACGACGGACCCTACACCGTGCTTCGAAGAAACGACAAATATTTCACACTACAGTTACCTGCAAGAGAAGCCACGATTTCGATCGATCGATTGAAACCGGCCTACACTATGAACACTGAAGACACCGCACTCGCCGCTCCCGCTCAGCAACCGGCTCCCGCCGACGACAACGATGCGCCCGACGCGCGCCAGCCCGCGCGGAGCGAGCGCGACGCTCGCGCCGCCCCCGCCGCCCGCCAGCCCGAGCGCGACCCTGCCCCCCGCACGACGCGAGCAGGGCGAGTCATCAAGCTGCCGGTACGCTTCGCTTGAGGGGGAATACTGTAGCCGCCAGCGACCACAATAAAAATCGTCTTCGAATCGAAACAATGAATGTTTGCAGCCGAAGCCACAAGCAACTTTCAGCACAGAAACACCACATTGGTCATCATAATAGAAACAGGAATGTGGCCCTGACAAGAGCCGTTGCATAGCTCTGAGAAGAGCTGTTTCGTTGTGACCACTGCACGTCGCACCGTCCCTCATCGCAGCACCAGCACCGCTCGCACCACTGTCACCAAGCAGCATCACCAACGCCCACGCGTGGAGCGGCGAGCCGCGTGGGCACGCGCCGCGTCGCGCTCCGGTACACGCGTGCGTCCTGCGCCGCTGCCCGCCGTCGAAAAGATCGAGGCTGGGGGCAGCGGGCACTCCAGTCGACACCTCCCCTCGCACTCCGCGCGCGCGCCGCGCGACAAGGAGGTAGCGTGAGAGCGAGACAGAAGACTCGCGCCGCACTCGGAACACTGCGCGAACCCGGTGACAGAGAGACATCGTGGGAGCGAGACGACAAGAATATAACATCAAACGGCGATTGGTCAAAATGTATGGTTGCTTAGGTAGTCTAGTTGTACATAAGTTTTGTAAATAAATATGGCATTGTTTCGCCAATAAATTATTCCCTTCTGAACCAGCAATTGAGTTTTACTTCAACTACCTCTCCTCAACACTGAAAAGTAGGAAGGCTACACACCACACACCAAACTTAGGCCTCCTACAGCCATATTAGCATGACACACCGGACGCAGGGCGGCAGCAGCGCGTTGAAAGCGGTTTTCGTATATGTATTTAAATTTTTGACAACCGCCCGCGTTGCAACTGCTTTGAAACTGCGCTGCTTTCAGTGTGCCTCAGCCGCGCTGCAACTGACCCGCACTGCTTATGACCCGCGTTTGGTCTGTGGAAGCCTTTAAAGTTACATATCTTACAGAGCGCTGCGAACGTGACGCAGAACGACACAGCGGTTGAAGACTCCGACGACGCAGGAGCCCTGGTAATAGACGAGGCTAAGGTTTGTTGTTTAGCTAACGGTGTCATGGAGGACTAACACACTAACAGCATTATGGGTTACGGTAATATTAGTGCATTAAAGCCCGGTCTGTGAGCACGTAGAATTTTGTCCAATGACCCCAAGCTACCCATCCTTATCGCTCGCGCGTAATTATATTGCTGTCGCGACTGTGCGACGGGCGCCCGCAGTGAGTGTGCGAGCGCGACATATAACATAATTACGCGCGAGCGATAAGGATGGGTAGCTTGGGGTCATTGGACAAAATTTTACGAGCTTACAGACTAGACTATAGTAAGAGTGGAATTTGTGCACTAAAATTTATTAATTACTAATACTCTTATTCTAACTTTCTCTTTTCAATTCTGGCTTTCGCTGCTTGAACATTAATAGCATTATGTAAAGTAGGTTTTTTTTCGCTTGTTCCCAATGATTAACCCTGTTACTAAATTTTTTATGGGAATGGATAGATTTTTATTGCTCTTTACGCAAAAATTACATGTGTTTATTTCTTTGGCACCCACGAGGTGGACCAACGACATCATAAAGGTACCGGGAAGGCGCTGGACGCAGGCCAATACAATTCAATATCTTTATTGCACCAACCAGGCGACATGGAAAGCATTGGTGGAGGCCTATGTTCAGCAGTGGACGTCCTATGGCTGAGATGATGATGATGAT